GTTTCAGAGATTGTCACGAAGGAGTGGCATAAATGTTTTCAAAATTGGTTCATTCGTATGAAAAAGTGCATTAACGCTAACGGAGAATATTTTGAGAAACAATAAATTCATTTCTGACCACTTATAGTATTTCTTTCTTATTCATTCCGGAAATTTATAGTGCGCCTCACGTATTTATCCTTTTATTCTTTTTTCAGAATGAGAAAATAAATATTAACATCATGAAGATTGTAACTTACACTCATAAGCAGAACGTCGGCAGCATTGTTACGAGAATTGTAACTATTAGGAGGCGGGATTTGTCTGAGTGTGTACCGTAAGAAACCTCCGTAAGACTTTACTTTATCGCCGATAAAGCTACAAAAACAAAGAACAGGTTACCTACCTTGAAATTTAATCAATTCAACAAAGTCAGTTACAAAAACGAAGACATGTAATGAGAAGCACCTTCGAAACAAGCTCGTGTGCAATGTACCAAAATCTCAATGTGCAATTGCGAATATCAAGACCTAAAGTTACAGACATTGTCACCTGACACACGAGCGTAAACAGTGTGGGTACGCCTTGCTTTCGTCTTTAATGTTTCTTTATCGCGATATAACGCACAAATTAATCAAAGTAGTTCAATGTGATTAAAATCTATTTATGTTACGTTATTAAATTCTCTCTTTTATGAAAAAGTTTCTAATGGTACATTTTCCAAACCATACCTACCTCAACGGTAAACTCCAATAGTAAATGTTATTTTGTGACCTATCTAAATCTGTCAGTCCTAATTCTCCTCTGAGCAAACGTGGTTGCAAGGAAGTTAGGACTGGCGCATTGTATCTAACGCCGATACCAGGAGACGAAGGTGCACTGGTATAGATCTTGACTTGGTCTGCGATATCTTGAGAGTTGAAACGAACGTTGTTTGTCTTGCGGCGTAAATTGCTGCTCTGGCATTGCTGAGACACGCCTGAACAGAAGCATAGAGCGCAGCCTTGTCTGAAATGTTTTTATTGTGTTAAACTTCAACTTGTACTCCATTTAACAGTAGACAGCAGGGTTTACAAAACAGTTATACTTGGATATTTGGATACTTGGATGGATCCGAATGAGAAATACAAAACTACACATTACAAACTCGTTGCACATTCGAGATGGTGTCATCTGTTAGTGAAGTGTCATGATTTTTTTAAGGTTCTTGTTTTAGACGTACCTAAAATCAGCAGAAAGATAAAACGAGTCGTTCTTGCACTGATCACAATATCTGCCGGTAACATGGTCCTTGCATTGACATTCATTTGGCATAGGTGAGCGTAAGGTGCCTACGGGGTTGCAATTGCTGGGCACAGGGATCTTGCAGGAGTCTCCAGGTATCAGAGGATTACCCACGTATCCGCGATCGCAGCGTTCGCAATTGCGACCTGTGTAACTGTCAATGAAGTTCAGTTAGTGATTTAGATCATCATCGATAAAAAATATTTTGTTGAAAGAAAGAAATTGAGGCACAAACATTAGAGTAAACCATCGAGTATATAACCAGAAATAGAGACGAAATACTAAATACTCATCAGGCAAATGAAATTTATATCTTTTTTAATGTTTTTTAAGTATCAAGTCTCATTTGCGCTGAAATCACAAATTAGAAAGCTGAAATAGTACAGCGCCAACACCTGTGTGTATATCTCCGTATATTCCAAAAATATTCTGTATTTATTGTAATAAAGATAATATCTCTAATAATAACAGACTGTTTCGTTTGGTGGTATCGGAAAAACAGCAAAATATCTAATTACAAAACAAACGAAATTACATTTCATCGATAATTAAATATTAAATATGTAATTTTTCAATTTTCGTCCATTATAACAAAGCTCAAGTTAAATTGGTCGATTTGAAGTGAAACAATTGACTACACGCATCAATTGTTTCGAATTCAAGGCTGGCCATCGGAGCGCGGTTGTCACCGTAATGATTTGGCAGAATAGTTTAAAAAAAAAATTAAATGATATTTCGTCTCTATTTTCATCATATGTATACTCGATGGGGCAAAGACCGCCCAGAAATAGTAGTAGTTGTCCCTAAAAGAAATTACATATTTCGCAACTTGATAGCTTTAATCTATTCAGGCATCCTTGCGTAAGTAGTTATTATCTGATTGTAAGGTTAGTTCTGTAATCAAAAGACACTTACCCTGGAAGACAATCGCAAATGACATCACCGTCAGGGCCAACAGAGCAAGTCCTTGCGAACTGGTTGTCAGGATTGGTGAGTGGGCAAGGACAGGGTCTGCAGCCCATTCCATTATTGGGGTAACCATATTCTCCTGGCGGACATTGCCTTTCTCGTACACATGCGCCAAGCCAGGGACCTGAATGGTCGTGAACGTACCCGGCGGCACATTTCTGGAAAAATACAAATTCGTTATGTTTTACGGTATTGTTCAGAAATAACCAATCATACTACCTATTAACTATTTATGAATGATTGTCTTCATCGAGAAGAGTGATATCATTACATTCATTATTAAAGTGCATTTTATCATAAAAACAATTTGCCAAATTTGAAAGATAAAACGAAATCCCCTATAAGGCCTCTGAAAGTTTTATGGATAGCAGGAAATGCACATATATAGATGTTAAAGTCCGTTCCAACCTGACAAGAGAGACCCTCATATCCAGGGGGGCAAGTGCACTCTTCGACGAGGTTTGCGGCTCCCAAGCCAACGTTGATGTGCTGCGCAGATTCCATGGAGAAGTCAGTGATGTTCGTGCCGGCATTATTAAAATCTCCACGCAGGAGAATAGTTTCAATGTTGTCCAAACTGTAATATGGTACCACAAGTGTAATATTTAAAGTAGGCTTTAAAGTAGGTTCTCAATCTGGATTTAGAATAGGTATCATAATATGTATATATTTATAATCAAATTTAGAATCCACAAAAAAAATGTAAAGTTGTTAATGACGTCATGATGATGGCTACATACTACATACTACACAAAACCATTGAATAACAAGAGACTAACGCCATCATTATGTCCTCTCGTGTCGTGGAAGTTAGTCCGCTAGGGGTAACTTTCATCCAATTCTCAGGAGTCAGTCGGGCTTTAACGGTGATCTGTCTTGGTCTGCCACCAGGAACGATGTGTACTAATGTCTCATATTTGCCCTGAAACGTTCCATTGCTTACAATAGTTATATTGGAGATCGACATTATTCTACAAAAACATGCTCCCCAACCCGCATGGTTTGGTTCGATTTAAATATAAATAAATACTTATGGTCCGTTGAACTGACTAAACATAAAATATAGAATTTCTACTACAGTAGTCAAAACTTGATGAAAAGGAAATTATTAATGCTACCTTGATAATAATCTCTGGTGAACTATCACTCGAGTATCTCGCTGGTTTATGCGGGGAGAAATTGTAGTTGATGTGCCCGCCATATGACGTCAGCTGGTTGCCGTTGTATGTCTCCGGTAAAGTTAGGTAAGGATGCGTGTCCGATGTTAACGATGGATACCAATTATTACCGTAATTGTCCAGTTTGGTAATCTATAATAAATAGTAACAACAGAATAATAACTACGATTCGATAATGTAAAAAAATCCAAATTCAACACAGTGGCGCTACTTGAACCAGGTTTTTTGTGATAATTTGTGCGTGGGAGAATGCACTTAGCGTAATTCTTACGAGAGTTTCATAAATGATTTTTGCACACGCAGTTTCTTTGATATTTCAATGTCTATTACTAATAATTTCATTGATACTCACAGTAGCTCCATTCCATAAAGGCTGATAAAAGTATTGGTTGCTGACTTTCTTGTCGATTTCAATTTGTCCATTCGTCACCTTGACGTCGACCAGACGGGTGCCACCTTCTCCCAGGGGCGTCGGCATGTTGTATGTAAACAAGTCCGCACTGCGGCATTGGGTCGACTCTCCAAAACAGAAGCACCGGATACACTCGCTCTCTGACTGCGCTTCGCTGGATCGAGTATCGATAATGTTTCAAATAAATACAGAGAAATATTGCAGTGAACTTAACTTCTATATGGCTTCTGAATATGCTACGGTAGGTACAAATTATCGAGAAATACGTAGTCATGACGAGGCGACTAATAATTTACAAAATACGGGGTTTTTACTAGTTAATTAGATGACTACATTTACTAGAGAGTCGAAAATATCCCGATACTATTTCCTGAGATCGGCCTCTTAGGCTAAGACCATTTTATGAGTGCATTTAGAGAGACGAAGTAGTAATGGGTATATGGATAAAAAAACATTAAAAACATTTTATGACGCTTTTATTTCAAGGTAGCGTTCAAGAATGTTAATTACTTAACTGGTAACCCAGCTGTACCGCTGCGTATTGAGCATCCGGTTCAAGAAAAGTAGTCAACATAAGTAAAAAAACTAAAATTGCTTCGCAATATGGATAATGGAAGGAGTAATATTGTACCGCGGTATAGCCTGAAATCATACTAAGGACAGACTACTACTATGTAGTACGATAAAAGTAACGACATTTACCTGTTAAAGAATCCAGCAGGGCACACATCGGTCTGACTAACGAAAACGATGGCGTCAGGGTAAGCGAACACTGTGCCTATATTGTTGATACCCTCGCAAGAATATGCGCCACTATGCTCTGGCTAAAAACGGCAAACCAAAATATTACAATTTATTGTAACTTGTAATAAAATGTTTAATATTATTTTACGGTAATTAAAAATAGTAATAGACAATTTAAAATAAGTTATTGAAGTTTCATGTTCGGCTACATAATATTAATTAAGAAATAAGTATCAATACCTGCATATAAGGACAAATAAGTTTTCCGATTCCATTAATGCTTGTCGCAACGCATTGTGAAGGGACATGTCCCCAGTTCAATCTCCATGATATGAGAGGCACGGGAATACCAACGCTTTCACACGTTAAAGTTAGCGTTTCACCGACGGTGAGCCTTATGTTTGAAGGGGTTGGTGGCTTCGTAATGTGCACTGGTGCTGAGAATTAAAATTAAGAACTCGCTTGAAAAAACGAACTTACATTATGATAAATTATTTAAATTCTTTGTTTTAATTTTTCACCCTTGCCCTATCTAAGTGTCCATCCCTCGTCAATTCTATTCGTTATTTGCCTCATTCACCACCGCAACGTCTTTGCTGTCAGAAACTAATTCAGCTATTTCGGAAACTGTCTCAGTAGCAGCTGATCACTTTATTACCGAATCTATTTTATAGGAACTATTATGTGGTATTGTGTAGGAACTACGAGTAAAATATTCTAACTTTGACGGTAACTACCTCCGTGGCCGAACGGTTACTATACAGAACTGCCACTCAAAGGTCGCGGGTTCGATTCCCGGGCCGGGAGAAATATTTGTATGGCCTACATTTATTTCTCTCGTGAGTTTGGGTGTAATTTGTAGTTTGTTTATGTGAGCGTCCATGGCACCCGCGATACAGGGTTTCCCTAGTGCGAACTATGGGTCTGTGTGTTTAAAGTGGTTGTCGAAATTTTTACCTTTCATATGATACCCAAGTAACGTCTACCTACCGCTGTAAAGAGCTTGGATAGTGTGCTGAGCAATCATGACCTGGATGTTGATATATTCAATTGTAATGTTGATGCGCTAAAGCGTAGAGTCACGGACATTCTATTTAATTTTATTAAATAATTTGTCATTAGCGCAGGTTTTGGTTTGATATTTTTATTTAAGTGCATGTTGTTAATAAATACTGTTTATTGTTCGCTGTTGAATACTCGTGTATGATTTGTCTGAAGCTATAGGTGTAATTGGCTTTATGCTTATTTTCTTGTTTTTATTAAATGCAAGAAGCTATTGGTTTTCCATGAATAAATAAATAAAACAGTGAAAATTGTATGAAAATTCTTACCACATCCAATTTCATCAGAACCGTCTCTGCAATCCGACTGTCCATCACAATGGAAACTCTTCGGTACACATTGATCGTTGCTCAAACATTTGAATTCCACAGGGGTGCACATCTGTCGACTACTTTCAACACCACAGTTCTGTTCATCAGAACCGTCCATACAATCATCCTCGGAGTCGCACAACCATGTCTTCAGGACACATCTCCGGTTCGCGCACTGGAATTGATTTGGTTCGCACAAGCCATTGTTATCTGCAATGACGTTATTTATTAGTACGTGCTTGACATCTTTCATTGATACCTTTCAGAAAATCGTGGTAGGTCGAATAAAGTTTCCGAGAACATTTTCATTTTATTATAACTCAGAAATAATTCCTTGGATCCGGCCGGATTCGAACCGACGTCTTTTAGCTTACCGTGTCAGACGCTATACCAACTAAGCCACGGAACGACCAGCGGACCTCACGAATTTTTCTATGTGCTTGCGTCGTGTCTTTGTATTTGGTTTTTTCAACGGCATTTTAGTCGTAGCGCCATCTATGAGAAATCTATGAAAGATTTATCACCCAGTTAGTACCTTTACAGTTACGAGACCTGGCGAGAGATGTCGCTATTCGCTGTATTTAAAATTTTTATTGAATTGATATTCAATTATTTTTTGTGAAATTACTCCACTAGTTTGTTATAATTATTAATACAAAGATCGAAGACTCAGAAAAAATTCCTTCGATCCGGCCGAATTCGAACCGACGTCTTCTAGCTTACCATGCCCCATTTTCATTTTACTTGAGATTCCGAAAAATAGACTATACATGGAGTTGTTGATAACATTTTCAGTTATTAGTATACATTCGGACGGAAAGAACAGCCGTTACGGTGCAAGTCAAACAGTGATTTTAAAACTACATAGGAAAAAATTACACAGATCGACGGGCCTGGCAAAATCCAGTCCTGCAAAACTGTAATTAAAAGAATTAATATAAGATTTTAAACACATACGGCAAGAATCCTCGTCGGAACCGTCGGTGCAATCTCTACGGCCATCACAGACTTGCGTCTTAGATATGCATTGTCCATTGCCACAGGTGGCTTCGTGAGCTCTACATGAATCGAACGCAGGCGGTTGTGGTTTGTAGATCGCTAGAAATAAATGACCTAGTCAATCGTATCATATTTATATCATACCTTCTCGTCACAGGCGTGTTGGAGATTTCATTAACGATTTACGTTACTTTGTATTAGACAGCAGCTTTGCTATGATCGCCAACCGGTCTGTCCATGGTCTGTCCACTACGGAACAGTTAAAGGCTCATGTGGATATATGTTGGAAATAAAGTAACTAATGCCCAAAACCCTCACCATAGAGGAGAGATACGAGCCCAGTAATGGATTGATATAGTACAAACACTTACGTGTAGCATCGACGCTGAGTGACACTCTCAACTCGGATCCTGGTTGTCCTAGATATCTGGGCGCTTGACAAATGTAGGTGCCGCTGTCAGCCGGCTATAATTTCATCATAATTATATTTTGAAGTAATAGACTTAAAATTTCTAGTGTTACAGGGTTATTTTCTTTAAAACGAAACCTATTAACTAACCTAATGGATAAATGTCACGTACCTATTTAAGCCGAATTTTGCTGGACATGTTCCGAACCTGTTTGTGGTCTTCAATTAAGAGATGAGCGGCGGTGACTAAGAAACTTCGCGCTAAAGCCCTGGCAGCCCGATCACTCAGTACGGCTTCGGGCGCAGGCGGAAAATAGTGTTAAATACTACGTCATTGGTTAGTATGAACGAGACTTTAGAAAGTGACGTTGTTAGTGTAGTGTGCAATCCTGAGTGAACTTTAACAAAAATGTAGCAAACGAGAGTAGTTGCTCGCCGACGCCGCCTGCGCCCGCAGCCGTACCGACTGATTTTGACCACATGTCAATTTTCAGTTGAAATAGAACTAGTCTTTTTGGGCAGCTATTTTTAACGAAAAAGAAGCTTGAAAGCAGCCATATTACAAAATGGGGAGAACAGTTTTGACCCCGAATTATGATTAAGAACTCCTAAACAGCTCAGCTCAGACCTCAGCATGCCAATTTTCAGCCGAATCGAAGCAAGTTTCTCTTCGGCTGCCATTTGAATTCGCCATCTTGAATTTTTTGTTGACACAGGCATTTGACCACTGTTACCCTCTATGACATTCCTTCCAGCACCTCCTACCTATCTCTAATACTTCCCTTAATAGAAGACCTTGACATTTGTATGGCGGCTATAGGCCATCTTTTCGGCTCTGATTATAAATCTTTATATTTATAATGATGAAGCCTTAGAATAATAACGCATAGAATGATAGTTTTATAAAAAACGAACTGTCACAAGTGAGGCAAAAATCATATTCATGTAGGCGTAAGTAACTTGTATTTACGCTCGTCGGCACGCACACAAATATACAAAAAATGATGCCATGGAATAACATTTCCCTCAAAAGTGGGGAAATTGTATCTTGCTTAACTCATCGTTAAGTTAGAGGTGCCTACAGATTTGCTCGATTTTGTCGATCGTTACTGTCGATCAGGTGCCTACAGATATGCTCGATTTTGTCGATCGTTACTGTTGATCGACAACGTCAAGTGACAGGAATTTTCAAAAATTTATTTTTGGTAATCCTTATGGAAATGGCATTTGATGGCATCTGAATTCGTGTATTCAGGAGGACACGACTTTTCTCATTTCTAAATCCAAGATGGCGGACACGTCTTTTCAAATAAATGCAATATGGGAATCGTTTTCGAGGTACTCGAGGTGCTCATCACGAATATGGCATTCATTTCTAAATCCAAGATGGCGGGCACGATTTTTCATGTAATGGCTAGTTGGGGATCGTTTTCGAGGTGTTTGGGGGTGCTCATTAGGAATATAGCACTTATTTCTAAATCTAAGATGGCGGACATGAAATTTCGAATAATGGCAAGTTGGGTGTCGTTTTCGAGGTATTTGGGGCTGCTCATTCCGAATATAGCACATACTTCTAAATCCAAGTTGGCGAAGAATTAGAAGAAGAAGAATTAGAAGTCTTGTCCGCCATCTTGTATTTAGATATACATGGCATTTCCTTAAAAAATACATTTTTGAAAATTGTTGTCAACCATCTTGGATTTAGAAATTAATGCTACATTCGTAATAAGCACTCTAAAACTCCTCGAAAACGTCTATAATTCTCAATCGTTACTGTCGATCGACAATGTCGAGCAAATCTGTAAGCACCTTATTAAATTTATTTAACTCATATATGAACAAAAACCTACAAGCGAGTTTAAGTGCGACTATCGAATTTGAATATATAAATAGCCTGATATTATCTGTGGGTATGTTTACATGAAAAGTACACGATAACAATAAAGAACCTGAACCTGAAAGTTATTTATACACGATTTTGGAGAATTGACGATGACTTTTTAGTCAGTGTTAGTTTCCTGAAATAATTTTAGTTAAGAACTTTTGAGTCTGGGCAAGACAATTTTTTTAAATGAGTGTATGATGAACAAGAATAATGATTTTTCACATGAAACTAATGAAGGCAAATACTAAATATATTTCGTAAAAATAGCTAACGTAAATTCCCTACAATGTTGTTGCGGCAGTGTACATTTGTAGAAATTTTGCAACCGTCGCGATATTGCCTATTCTCAAAAAATTACGTAATATAATTATTTTGAAATAGAATAGCAAAATGGGGAGAAAAATCCCGTTACTTTGCAACATTTTCGTATCTTGTTGCAACGAAATTAATTCACTGTTTTAGTGAATATTTACATAAAAATACAAGTTGAAACGCGTTACTTCCTTATGGAATGTGATGTTAGTGTCTATTTTATATTTGTCTGATCTATTTTTAAACCCAATTACCGCACATTTCGTAATTTTTAGCAAAAATTTTTGAGCTGCTCGCGGTGCAACTTGACCTTGACCACTGACAGCCCGCTCGCTCGTGTAGGCCCATAGGGCGCCCTACAATTTGCCTCACATAGCGTGTACGGGCTAGGTTTCTATGCGTTATTATTCTAAGGATGAAGCTATATTGAACACAATTCGAAATTTGAAATATACGTCGTCCAGAACAAAAGTAAAAGAAAGTATTAGAGGGAAATAAAGCTACGTAGATAAGAACAGAACTCAAATTTTCCATTTACGTTCGCCTATTAATTGTCGGTGTAGGTAAATGGGAAATTTGTAACGGTATGTATTTCAATGATGATTTTAAATTTGTAAAAGCAGCAGGCAAAAAATCTAAACGGTCTTCTTTTTTAATTATTGATCCATTTTCTCTGAGATATGAATTAAATTAAGTCAATGGATATTTTAATCTAGTCTTAGCTACGCAAAGAATGTTCGATTTGTATAAATTAACTTGACAGTTTTGCGTTGGGTCTCAAAACTCAGACAAATGAGCATTAAAAATAAAAATTAGATATTCTTTTTTAAAACTAAGTAAATGTTGATTATATTAGTATACTAATATTGTATTAATTATGACATAATTTGATCTGAAAACATGTTCGGAAACTCAATCAAATTGGCTTCTACTTCTTCATGTACTAACCTAAGTATCTAACCTACTGAATAGAGGGCGCAACCAAGCAACCAAGATTTATTAGGACATCAATATCAAAAGATAAACTGGTTATAAATGTCATCAGTCGTTAAAAGCAAAGATGAATAATAAAAAAGAGGACCAAATATTACTTTTGAACACCAAACATTAATAAAGTACTTATGCTTAAATAATAGGGGTTAAAGTATGAAATTGCCGATTTGTACTGAAAATCTAAATTGTTT